AAATGTTGGATTATTAGCTATCTTAATAGCTGAATCGTTGTCACAAAATAATAAAGCAGCATGATCATGATTGATTCTAAAATCTTTAAGTAATTGCTTTAACCAAATCAATTCACATGTGGTTGTTGCTATCGCTCGGTATTCTGCTTCTGTAGAAGATCGAGATACAGTTGGCTGCTTTTTGGATTTCCACGATATTAATGAATCACCAAGGAATACACAATAGCCGGTCACTGATCGACGAGTATCCATGCACTTGCCCCCAATCTGAGTCACAAAATGCTCGTAAATCCATTGTTGACTTTGACGATAAAAAAACGCCTTGACCAGGAGTTTGCTTCAAGTATCGAACTAGGTGACATGTTGCATCATAATGTGGAACTCTTGGAGAAGAAACATATTGTGACAATTTTTGAATTGCAAAAGAAATATCTGGACGTGTGATGTTCAAATATAAGAGTCTGCCAATCAATCTTCTATATCGAGAAGGATCATCATACACATCACCCATGTCACCATGCAAATTCACTCTTGGATCCATTGGAGTGTTAGTAGGTTTAGATCCTAACAATCCCATGTCTTTAACAAGCTGTAGCGTGTAATTCCTTTGAGATACAAAGATGCCAGCTTTAGATCTTGCAACTTCAAGACCCAAAAAATAACCCAATTTTCCTAAGTCTTTGAGCTTAAATTTGTCACTGAGCTTATGTTTAATTCAGTCAATCTCCTTGGTAGATGATCCAGTAATCAATATGTCATCGACATATACAAGTAATGCCACATAATCAGACCCATTACCTTTAAAAAATAATGAATAATCTGATTTGGATTGTGTAAATCCACTTTGTATCATAGAAGTAGAAAATTTATCAAACCATTGCCTTGAAGCTTGTCGTAAACCATAAATGGATTTGTGTAATTTGCAAACTAATTTCTGATTGGAACTATGTTCCCCCTGAATTTTGAGTCCAGGTGGCAAATCCATGTAAACCTCTTCCTTTAAATCTCCATTTAGAAAGGCGTTATTAACGTCTAATTGAACCAAGTTCCATGACTTTGCAGCAGCAATTGCAAGTAATATTTTCACTGTAACAAGTTTTGCCACATGGGTATAAGTGTCAAAAAAAATCAACACTTTCTTGTTGGCTAAAACCCTTGGCAACTAATCTCGCTTTGTGTCGTTCAATATTGCCATTACTTCCATATTTGAGTTTATAAACCCATCTGCATCCAACTGTATTTTTATTCGGAAGCAAATGAACAATTGACCAAGTTTGATTATCATGCATTGCTTTCAATTCATCATCCATTGCTGCACACCATTGTGGGATTTTCATTGCTTGATTGTGATGTTGAGGCTCAAAATTTGCTGAAATATTCATAACAAGATTTTTGTGACTTGAAGAAAGATTGTCATAAATCAATACATCTTCAAGAGGATGAACTGAATTGGAATGCCTCGTGGAATTGCAATGAAAATCTCGTAAATATGAAGGCGGTCTTGAAATTCTTGTTGTTCTTCTGGTGTCTTGATTATTTTGAGGTTCATGATTCAACACAGGTTCATCATTCTGAACTTGATTCAAACTTGGCATTTCCGAATTACCATCATGATTGTGAGAATAATCACCATTGAGTATATCACTCGTTGTTATAGTAAGAACAATCTGAGCAAAAGGATGATCATTTTCTTTAGGATTTTTCTGGCATGGAAATATATCTTCATGAAATGTAACATCTCGTGATATTATAAACTAATTTGTAGATAAATCAAAGAGTTTATAAGCCTTCATGTTGAGTGGATAACCAACAAATATGTACGATTTTGCCCTTGGGCAAAATTTTGTTCGATTTGTTGTTAAAGTAGATGCATATGACAAACACCCAAATGTCCTTAAATGAAGATAAGTATGCTCTTTGTCAAACAATCTTTGATATGGAGTCTGATTCTTAAGAAAAACAGAAGGAATTCTGTTAATAATGTATACAGCATTTAGTATACATTCACTCCATAGTTTGATAGGCACATTTGATCGAAATAATAATGCCCGTGCAACATTTAAAATGTGTTGATGTTTTCTTTCAACAACTGAATTCTGTTGGGGTGTTGGAACACATGACTTCTGATGTATAATGCCTTTATCTTCAAAAAAATCTTTGAATTGTAGTTCCTTCGCATTATCGGATCTAAACATTTTAATTTTCTTTTGAAATTGCGTCAAAACCATATTATAGAAGGAAGGTATTATTCGTATGATGTCAGATTTATTGTGTAACATGTAGACCCAAGTGTATCTACTATAATCATCAACAATAGTTGCAAAGTATTTGTACCCTTGAATTGAAGGAATAGAATACGGACCCCAAATATCAAAATGAATTAAAGAGAAACTGTTGTCTTGTATATTGTTCATAGATGGAAAAGGCAACCTTCTTTGTTTTGCCAAAGGCCATACATCACAATGAGAAAACATACTCGAATTAACTGACTTAACAACTAATTGATCTCTTATTGGGTACATACACTTATTGGAATGATGGCCTAATCTATTATGCTAAGCATCCAATGAAACAGTGACATTATTGATCCTTGAATTCTTTAACTCCTTGCATTCATTCAACACATACAGCCTCTGATGAATATTAGCTTTGCCAATCATCTTCATGTTCCTCATGTCCTGAATCAAAGCATGATTACAGGTAAACTGAATCATCAACTTTTGATTTTGGGTTAGAGCACTAACAGATATTAGATTTTGATCAAATGATGGAACATATAGAACATCTTGAAGTGTAAACAAATGTTCTATCTTGATATCCCCAATAAGTGTGACTGGAAGAGTGATTTTATTTAGCAAAGTAACAGTGTAATGAATTACTTTTCTCTTATTCATGAACATGGAAATCTCATGACAAACATGTTGGGTGGCTCCAGAATCTATGATCCATGTATGAGATTTTTGTCCAGAGTTTATTGAAAGAGAATAGCATTTACCTGTTGTTATCTCTTCATTATGATTTACAGTAATCATGTGATTGGATAATGCAGACATAACTTGTTGACATTGATCCGGAGAGAAACCTTTGAACATATTTGCTAAATCATGGTTGATTGAAGAAATTTGTGCATTTGGATCTTCATTGGCAGCAGCTACATGATTAATCTTGTTTCTTGGATTATAGTTCTTGGCACTGTTTGATTTGTATCCAGGAGGGTAACCATGTAATTTGTAACATTTATCTACAGTATGTCCTTGAAAATTACAGTGAGTACAATAAGGACGATCCCTGTTTGTTGATTTGTAATTGTTAGATTGAGGTTTTCTTGAAGGAACTGAAGCTTTAGCCAAGAACGCCATGGAATTTTGTGTTTCATTTGATATGGATTTCTGTTTCTCTTCTTGAGCCATTAAAGAGAAAACACGATTAATTGATGGCAAATGATCCATAAGAAGAATTTGACCTCTGGATTGAGAGAATGATTCGTTCAATCCCATAAGTAAGTTCATAATATGCTCGTTTTGAAAATACTTCTCAATTTCTTGTACACCGTTGCATTCACATTTGTTACATGTACAATGAGGCCGAAAATTGCTGAGTTCTTCAGAAAGTGATTTCAATTTGGTGAAATAAACACCAATTGATTCTTGATTTTGCTTGAGATTCACAAGTTCTCTTCGAATTTGAAAGATACGAGGACCATTACTTTGTTGAAATCGATCCTTCAAATCCAACCATATTTCATGAGCGCTTTCTGTAAACATGATGCTTGCAGAAATATCTTTCGATACAGAATTCAATATCCATGATATCACTAGCTTGTTATTGCGCATCCAAACATTGTAATTAGATTGTTCATAAGGATTAGGTTTGGGAAGAATACCGTCTATGAAACCAGTTTTGTTCTTCACCGACAAAGCAATCTGAATAGCTTGACTCTAGGAATTGTAATTGTCTCCTGTTAGAAGTTGAGAAACAAGTATAAAACCAGGACTCTCAGAATGATGCAGATAGTATGGATGCATTCAATCATCGATTGGAGAAATCGTAGATCCAGGATTTAAATTTGACATTTGAACTCAATCAGCGAAAATCTGGAAAAAATGATTGATTGAAAAGAAAGAAAAGAGAAATTGATTATAATCAATCAATCGAAGATAACAGCCTGACAATTGCAATTGATCGGAGAAGACGATCGGAAAATGTTATCGGAGAAAACAATCTGAACGGAAGCTTCTCGCTCTGATACCATAATACGTGAAAGAGGGAAAATGAATCAGACTTGATTTCTCATTATTGCGTAATCTGAATATATACAACTATTCTAATATTTACAATAGTAATCCTCCAACTATTCTATATTTACATATAAGCCCTATATTTACATATAAGCCCCAATATTTTTTTTGGCTCTTTTACAGGTTCTCGTTGATGTGTCTGTCGAAGGTCATCTACATGCAATTGCTCTTTGCGGCATGAGTATATATCAACATCTATCTTCCCTACTCATTTTAGTGGGATTCTCCGGGTTTGTTGCTAGTATATTTTAAATTTTAAAACACAAGAGTACTTTTTTTTCAACTCATATTTCATTATTATTATGGTTTTATATCATAAACATTTTACTATTTTGAATGGAATATAATTAATTACAAATACTTTAACGGCTATTAGTATTGCATTGAGTTAGATTGTGATGTTAATATATTATAAAAAAAATATATTAAAAATGTTACGTGTGATTATATGCATAGATAATAATAATAATAAAAAATAGTTTTCTTGTACAAGATTTGGATGGATAACACTATAGTCTATCAATCCTTTGTGGCCCATAACAAACCTCATCTAAAAACTGGAACCATATGATCTACAACAAACCCTCGAAAATATTTGGATTCTTAAAAAAAATCACATATGATCTAATAGATACGAGGTGTGCTATAATTCAAAAAAACACAATTACAACTTACATCGTATAACACAAAGCTTGCTATACCTCAAACGTTGTCACCATCATCTTCTTCCCACATCCGAACCCAATTCTCCTTAGCTTCTTCAAACCCAAGAATTGAACCTTTCTTTTCAGAATCCCAACTAGTCGACAAAGTCCCATACGCAATCCCAAGTGTCGAAGCTCCAAATGTAATAAAAGTCGTCAAAAACGGTAACCAACGTGGGATTTGCCATAAATTTTGTTCTTTTATCACACTAAACAGTTGAAGCAAACCTAACCCAGTCACCAATGGCACCCCAACATTGAACAAAATCCTAGTTATAATTCTTCCCATCACCACATCTTCTATTTTATCATCTGCTTCTTCTTTCTTCTTCTTATTTTCTTCTTTCATCATAAGTTTCTGTTTTTGTATAGTTTCCCCATTGAACCCTTTTGCTTTTGCATAAATCCTCCATGTTTTTGTGGGGATTTGTGATGGGATTTTGTTGGGTATTGAAGTTTTAGGTTGCCATTCGAGAGAAGATGAAGTTGTAATGTATGGGTGTATTACTTCCACACCGAACAGAGTTTTCATGGCTAGTTCTTTTTCCTCCAAGTTTTTCTTGATTTTATACATAGGATTTTATGTTTTTATTTAATCATTTCTTAGTATATCTTATCCAGAAAAATGAATGGTGGATGTTAGATTATTTTTCTCTTTTTTTAAAATTTTATTTTTTCAAGATATTCACATTTTTATCTTCTTTTCGGTGGGGGCACACTGGAATTTAAATATATTTCCCTAAACAAGATCAGTTTATTAGCATCCACATAAAGCTAACACAAAGAAGAAAAAACAAAGCTCCTCGAAGCTTATACACTTATTTATGAGGTGATAAAGTGTAAGAGATTGAAGAACTACTTATTACTAGGTTTATCGAGCTTCTCATATGATTTCCTTGAGACCTGCATGCATGCCACGTGTAATGTCCATAAGATCATATCATAGTAATTAATACATAAAAGAGTTCTAATACATAAACTTTGACTTACCTTATATGAAGATGGTGAGCTGCTGACGTGGCCCATAGGAGAATTTGGTGTAGACTTCGTAGGAGAAGTGTATGATGTTGGTTTTTTGAAGGGTGACTGGATAAATGGTGAAATAGGTGAAGTTATTGCAGAAGTTTGATGGTGTGAAGAGATTGGTGATGATTGAATTGGAGATGACACCAAAGTTTTCCAATCATAATTAGATGCTGATGTTGCTCCCGATCTTAACGTGGACGGAAGCATGTTTATTTTCATTCTGAATATAAAAGAAAGAAATGAAAGAAATGAGGAAAAAGACAAAATTGAAAAAATGGTCCCATGGTTGTTAAAATAATGTGGTTTGGTCCAAAAATATTTTGTGATGCAAAAGTGGTCTAATTTCGGATCTTTTTAGTGATTTTGGTCCCTCCACACTTAAAATGACATTTATGCCCTTACAATATATTTTTTTTCAGTTTTTATAATTGTTATGATATTTAATTTATTAAAAAAAAGTTGGGTCCCACCCATCACCCTTTTATCTCCTGACCCTTCATCCCTAGATCCCCTTCATCTTTTCTTTACAGTCACCACCTCCCTCCGCCTTACTGTTCCACCTGCCGAAAAACACGTCCCTCAGGTGAAAAGCTATGGCCCACCGAAGAAAAGCCCCCTCACCAGAACCTCCGGCGTCTACAGTCTTCTACGACTACTGTCCACCACTACCTTTTATGCCACCGGTGCAACCCACATTTGCCTGGCAGTGGTCATTCTCTCCGAAAAAACGTACTCGGCAGCCTTCGTTTGGTTCCCCACCATTAACACCGTCCCTGTCATCGTCGTATCCCTTTCTTCTTCTTCTTTATCTTCTCACTTTCTCTTTCTCTTTTATTTTTGAAAACCCCAGATTCTGGGGACAAACACCGTAGTTAGATCGACCATCATCGCCCACCATAACTGGACTATTATCTTCATCGATCTGCACTCTACCACCACCGTATTCGCCAGCCAGACTGTTGATTTCACGAATTTATGCAGTCGTCGTCAGCTACCACCATCTTCGTCACTTCTCCCTTATCCCCTCATATGTCTCCCCCGATCTGCTCTGCCAGTCAACTAGCCACGACCTCACCACTCTCCATTGTTTTTGTTTGTCTTCTTTGTCGTTTTTGTATGTCAAAGCCTCCATCAAAGCTAGGGTCAGCGATGACTGTTAGGGTTGGGGTTCAACAACGAATGCTATGGTTAGGATTTGAAGCCACCATCGAAGATAGGTTACGACAGTATATCCCAGAAAGCAACATATTTAAAAAAGATGACTTCGAATTGAAGGGTTTATCACCTCTCGCTCCTTCTCTGGTGCACGAATCCACAAATAGATGACTTTAAAGTTTAGATCGCTGGTGTCTAATGTTTCTGGCGGCTCTGGTATGGAGTTGATTGAAAGTGGTGGTGGCAGACGGTGGTGATAGTCAAGGTGGTCGTGGATGGAAGTGACAAAAAGAGAGAGAGAGAGAGAGAGAGAGAGAGAGAGAGATATGGCAATGATGAATTCGGTGGGGGTGGAGATGGGATTTTTTTTAGTTTTTAATTAAAAGAATAAGAAACTAAATCAAAAGAAATTCAAAAAAATATTATAGGGGCAAATTCGTCATTTCAGGTCAGGTATGGACCAAATACACAAACAAATATCAACCATAAGGACCAAAACTACACAATCTATCCAAAATTGGACCACTTATACACCATCAAACTTTTTTGGACCAAAACCACGTATTTTTGACAAATACAGGGACCATTTTTGCAATTTTGTCGAGGAAAAAGAATAACATTAATTATTATGCAATGTGTTTGTAGAATATTGTTATTGAATAATTTGTCCCATATTTGATAGATTATAAAAAGGTGGAATAGGCTTCATATCTATAAAAGAAGCCAAGGTTTTGGTATCAAACTGACCTGATTAAATACATTTTAAGTATTTGATTATTTTCTTTTATGTTCTTGCTTTAGAGTGTAATGAAAAAGTATGAATTAAATCTTTGGTAAGTATGGGCATAATAAGGTTTGAGAAATTTGTTTGTGAAATTGTAATAATTTGTCATATTATAACGAATCTTCCTTTTTGGAGATCTATCTTGGTGCCTTAATACAATGTTTTAAAATTTATTTATAATAAAGAATTGATCAAAAGACTTACATGCTGTCTACATCGACATATTCGTTCCTTTCATCGAGAATAGGTTCCTTCAAATTTAAAATGATACACGACACATGAAATTTTATTAAATATTTAAACAAATGGAAAAAAAGGTAATTATTTCGATGGTAGTATAATAGCAAACCTGTAGAAGTTCTTCAAGAACATCTTCCATTGTTATAAGGCCGATAATTTCTTCATCTGGATTCGGGAATGAGTCTAGAACACTTGAAATATTTTGATCTGGTGCAGGATTTTGAGATGCAGGATCACTTGAAGTTCTATAAATGCTCAGTTTTGTATTTTGACCTGTAATTAACATGATTCAAAAAATATTAGTATTAGTTACTATATAATAACTTAATAATTGTGTATCTTATACGTAGGCTGCCATTTAAGATAGAGTTAAGAGACCTTTTTTTTCTACTTTAATTTGAGTTAGCAGCTGGCTTGAGGAATTGTTATGTGTATTGAGAGCAGTTTTACTTCTTACAACAACTGCCATGTGGCTTTGTCCTTTCTGGAACAAATTTAGCATCTCATATAACGGTAGACATTCATGTATCCTGTCAAATAAGTGTAAACTAGAGATTATACAAGAGAAAACCATAAAACCAAAAGGTTAAGACAAATCTAGGTAATTCATTAATTATTTTTCAATAAAAAAAAAGCCAGAAAATTAAGAATGATCAATCTAACCATTGCAATCGCATGTGAGCCTTAATGGGCTGCGATTTCGAGGATATGGCCATATGGGTTGCAATTTGGTCATGGACCTATCCCATAGACCTAAGGTGAGGTTTGAAAAAAAATATATGCTTATGAGGAAATAGCAATGGATTTAGAGGAAATTAAAGATGATGGAGTCTGCGATATTTCATCTGGCTAAAAATGATCAGATTCGGGTTTTTTTTTCATCATGAGATCGTAGCCCATTAGGCCCATCTACGATTTCAGTAGTTAAAATTTTGATTTTAACTTTTTGAAAAATAATTAGTGAATTTGGTTAGATTTGTCTTTTTCTTAAAAACAATCATATTATACAATATTTTTCATAAAATAACTTTTTTTTTATCTTTTTCAAAAAAAACCACCAATTTAAAGTCAATGCCAAATCTACTATTTGATGCAAAATGGTCTTTGCATATTTAGTTCATTTTTTTTTTTCAATTTTTCCTAATTTTTAAACCCTTTTTTTTTTCAAAAATCTCTCTTATTTTATTGAAAGTATCCCGTTATGGCTAATTATATTTTTGTCATTTTTTGATATAATCAATAACCCATGATTACAGAAAATAAAACCAAAAAGATTATGTCCCCAAAAAAACTAGGAAAGTTATACCTTGGGACTTTCCGGATACTGAGATTCTTAATTAGAATTTCATCTTCAGCTCGGAATTTGATTAAACTTTTTACCAAAATAAGGCCAATTATATTTTCTGGTCTTCCTAGATACACAGGAACACGGCTATGCCCTTTGTTTAATAACAAACTCATAGTGTCCCTGAGAAATTAGCATATGTCAACTTTATTTTATGAATAAAAACACATATTCAAAAAAGAAATTATATATGTAATATGTATACTCATTGAGTTTTGAGTAGAGCTCGAGGGAAAATATTTCGGATATTGGTGTCATGGCATCTTTGACGGTTTTTTGTGCTAAATCAAGAGCTCCGGTTATGATTGTAATTTCATCATGTGTTAATTCTCCACCTTTTCCCGCCTAAATGTAACAATAATTTTGATTTAGTTAACTAGTTTAGCATATAGTATTATATAATTCGAATTTTATTGGATATAATCATATAAATCATACCTCATTTCCATGCATATCGACTAATGTTTTAAGTTCTGCGCGTCGTAAAAGCATAGAATGCCCTTTACCAAGGACTAAGTCTAAAAGCTGCAAATATTTAATAAAAGAAAAAATAAATAAATAAATAAATAAAAGAGGTTACTTTACATTAGGATTTTAGGGAAGAAAGCATGATCACCCATGCATGCAACGTTGATCTATTATCTTTATATTCAAAAGCAATATATTCATTCAATATTCTTCATTTGTCATGCTTATAATTGATCATTTGAAACTTATATTTCTATGTATTGTTAAATTTTGGGACTCAATTTTCTTGTATCTTATGCTTCATTCACGTGTGATTCTTATAAGTTATAACCACCATCAAAGTGGCGTACTAACTAATTAAGCACTCTAAAATGGAGTTGCATAGACTTCAACTTTGCAATGGGCTAGAGCCCGTTAAAAAAACAATTTGACTCTTGCGTTTAATTTAACAATATCCGACTATTAATTAATTGGGTGAAAACTTCACTATCATTTTTCTCTCTATTATATTTAGTGAAAGGATTGTTGGAGATCTTTGAGACCATTTTCCCAATAC